AACTTTCCTATGTTGAACGATCCTTACATTCCAGGAATAAATTCCACTTGATCATAGTGTATACTCCTTTTAACATGCTGCTGAATATGATTTACTAGATTTCTGCAACAGTGTGCAAATGGCATATTGGTCTGCAGTTTTCTTACAGTGTCTTTTGGGGGGCAGGGGCTTTCTACTAGTTTTGCCGGCTTCATACATGAATCAAAAAGTGTTCCTCTCCAATTTTTTGGAAAAGTTTGAGAAAGACTGGTATTAGCTCTTTTTTATATATTTGGTGGAATTTCCCAATGAAACCATAAGGTTCAGAGCTTTTCTTTGTTGGAAAAATTTGATTACTGATTCAATCTTCTTACTAGTTAAAGGTCTATTCAGATTTACTACTCCTTCATGATTCAGTCTTGGCAGCTTTTGTGTTTCTAGGAATTTGTCCATTTCATCTAGATTATCAGACCTGCTGGCAAATAATTGTTCACAGTATTCTCTTATAATCCTTTTTATTTCTGTAGAGCCAGTACTAATGATTCTTTCACTTCTGATTTTAGTCATTTGAATCTTCTTTTATCTTAGTCCATCTAGCTAAAAAATTTGGGTTATATAACAAAGTCAAGTATTGTTCCCTACTATTAATCCTCTCCATTTGAAGCAGTTTTTCTTTAACATAAATGATAAAAACCACCCCAAATTTCCTAATAATTTAAGCACATTTTTGTACTGTGTTTGAGAACGTAAAGTACACATTTTAAAAAACTGATCTCCCAGCCAGGCTCAGTGGCTCAGTCTGTAATCCCGCACTTTGGGAGGCTGAGGTGAGTGGATTGCCTGAGCCCGTGGGTTTGAGACCCGCCTGGGCAGCTTGGTGAGAACTCATCTCTACAATAAAAAAATCAAAAAAATTAGCCAGGTGTGGTAGCGCACCTGTAGTTCCAGCTACTTGGAAGGCTGAGGCAGAAAGATCGCTGGAGTCCAGCAGGTGGAGGTTGCAGTGGCAGGGAGCGGCCACTGCACTCCAGTCTGGGTGACAGAGTGAGACTCCAACTCAAAAAAACAAACAAACAAAAAAACCAAAAAACCGATCTCCCATCCAATCTCCACACACTTACTATTTATTATAATTCATTAGTGGGAGAGAAAAAACAACAATAAATTGAGTCCCTAGTAGATCCAAATTGGCTCACTTATATTAATATACCTAAGATCTAACAGTCTTCAGTGCCTTTACCTATACTTTAAGGAGGAAAAAGAATGTAATCCTATTATATTCAGTAGGTTATACATGGAGACAACCACCTTTCCAAAATAGCTCTTTGAATTTTCCCCAAGAAAAAAAATAAGGGGGAAAAATGTAATCTTATCACATATTTCAAATAATTCCATTTGGTAAAAACTTAAGTCAGCTAAAAACTCTAAAAGGGACTGCAAACTTTTCTGTGAAGAGTCAGAAAGTAAATATTTTAGTTTTTTCAGGCTATATGGTCTCTTATTGAAACTACACAGCTACTTAATTATGCAGCTGTCGCACAAAAAGAGTCACAGACAATTCATAAATGAATGGTTGTGCTGTATTCCAATAACACTTTACAAAACAGAAGGAGGGCAGGATTTGACCTGCAGGCTGCAGTTGCAGACCCTGACCTATACTACCTTAAGCCCACTTCATGATGCAGATGGGAAAAAATGAAAGGTTACCAAATGAGATAACCAGAGAACAAAATATATTATTTTCTTCATTCTTCAGTTAACTCCAAAACTTTTCATAAAATTAGATTTTTAAAAATCAATGTTAATTATCATCATTTTGGGTTGTGATGAAGGTATGATATAAGTTTGTTTTAAGAGCATTTATTTTTTAGAATACATATTAAAATACTGACTGATGAAATAATACGATCTTTATCTAGATCTGCTTCAAAATAATTCAGTAGACGGAATGGGAAGTAAAGGGTAAAGATAAAACTGGCCATGAATAGTAACAGAAGTAAGGTGACAGGAACACAGGATTCATCATACTATTCTCTTTAATTCTGTATATATTTAAATCTTCTAATAGTTAAAAAATAACAAAAACAAACCACTCTATAAACAAGCTGGTAAATGATGAATGACAAATCTAAGTGCATTTGGAACATCAGGTATTTTCTGAACTTCAGTACTACTGACACTTAAGGCCAGACAACTCTTTGTTGTGAGAGCCATCCTGAGCATTGTAGGATATTTTAGTAGCATCCTTAGCTTCTACCCTCTAGATGCCAGTAGTACCCACCCAATTCTAACAATGAAAAACATCTCCAGACATTTCCAAAAGTTTCCTGAGGGATTCAAGTATCTTCAGTTGAGAACCACTGTTTTAAACAAACTATACAGATGTTTGACAAACAATGTTAAACCTTATATTCTAGACAAATGAAACTTCGATTAATTTTGGTTTTAGTCTTGAGCCATGAGTTGTATTTATATTTTACCCCAATTTTTAAATGTAGTTTTTCCTTTACCAGTTGGGAAACTTATTAACCTAATGTGCAAATACCCTTTTTCTACATGTCTACAAGTTACATCTACCCACAATGGCTTTTAAAACAGGAAAAGAACATTAACAAATCCACATGAGGAGTCTGGTAGAAGTCCTGTGTATTGCACTATTCCAGTTAACATCATTTAGACATTTAAAGATAAATTATTTACAAATACCTAGCCCGCTGAGCCTCACTCCAACTCTGATCTTGCCATGCTTATAAAATTAAACTAGCCACCGGGCTCAGTGGCTCAGCCTATAATCCCGCGTCTTTGGGAGGCTGAGGTGAGTGGATTGCTTGAGCCGGCGGGTTCAAGACCCGCCTGGGCAGGCGAGACCTCATCTCTGCAATAAATCAAAAAATCAGCCAGGCGTGGTAGCGCATGCCTGTAATTCTGGTTACTTGGAAGGCTGAGGTGGAAGGGTCACCGCAGCCCAGCAGGTCGAGGCTGCGGTGGCCAGGAGTGGCCACTGCACTCCAGTCTGGGTGACAGAGTGAGACTCCAACTCAAAAAATAAATAAATAAATAAGTAACCATTTGTTTTATTGGAGTTCAATTAAGAAAAAAGAAAAGAAACTCTACTATTGAAAATCAGTGCCACTTCATTCTCAGTTTCACAGGCTCTCGTGTGAACAAAAATCTCTAGATACACAGATACAGGAATAGTCCTATGTTGCCTGGTTAGTGATTCAATTCTGAATAAGATAGCATATTTAATTAAAAATTAGGCCAAAAGAACTGTGTTTTTTTAGCCTCTTGCCTCATTAACTATAATCAGAAGGACTTTAGTTTTTCAGTAGTTGTTGCTATTGTAGTTTCTGGATTCAATAAATTTAAAAATTTATTCATATTCAACTCTGGGAATTTCACTTAATTCTCCCAAATCAAACTTGTACAATAACATAAAAATTACCTTCTATTTATAAAATACTAAAATTAACTAAGGTCTTTCTTTCATTACCAAAAAAATAAAAACTCTTAACATACATTGGATTCCTAAATTCACAACCAAGAAGGATACAACTTAAAAATTACTACTATAAAAGTAAAATCAAACTATAAAATCTCACTCATAAAGACATCACAGTAATAAAACTATCATATAGTTCATAGACATCTAACATGCTCATTTAAAATTCAAGTTCTTTCTAGGCAACAGAAAATTCTAAATCAAAGGTGACTTATTTATCTCTGAATATCTTCTTTAGGATATTTAGAGTTGTCCAACAATTCAAAACACATACAATTAGAGAAAAAAACCAAAAGTAACATTAAGACCTCCCTTTTTCAATGTGTCTTTAAAAAAAAAAAATCTTAATTGGTAAAAACAGTCAGATCCACCAATTTAGCCCTCAGCAATTCAAGTCCTTATTAAGCTCCCACAGATGGGAATGTCTTTGGACAAAATTGCAATATTTTGTCTATCTTAAATTTGCTAGAGTTTGACTTATTCTAAATAATTTTGCACTACACTAAAAGAAGTGTGATTTAAATATATTTTTAGTAATGAATTTGAAGTTAACTAAGACAAAGCAAGCCATCCTTCATACCACATGTACAGACAGATACTTGGCTAAGATTCCAATGACAGTAAGAAATGTTTACTTCCCTTTTATAAGAATATATTCTAAGTTAAATTGAGCATACATACACACATACAGTTATAAACAAGCACTATCAACTCTTCAAATATCCACATTACGTTCAAGAAACAATAAGACTAAAAAAATGCTAACTCAGGTTGGGCATGGTGGCTCATACCTATAATGCCAGCACTTTGGGGGGCTGACATAGGAGGATCACTTGAGGCCAGGAGTTTGAGACCAGCCTGGGCAACTTGGTGAGACCGCATCTCTACAATAAATAAATCAAAAAATTAGCCAGGTTTGGTGATGCACACCTGTAGTCCCAGCTACTTGGATGGCTGAGGCAGAAAGATCACCTGAGCCTAGGAGGTCAAGGCTGCAGTGAGTTATGATTATACCACTGCATTCCAGCATGGGCAACAGAGTAAGAGCCTGACAAAAAAAAAAAAGCTAACCAGTTATGACAAAACAACAACAAAAAAGGCCTCTGAGTGTCACAGAGACCAGGAAAGACTCTGACCTAGCGAATCAAATCTATATACCCCTTTCTTCAACTTCCCTAGGATGATTCTTGGGTGAACCCAACTTGGCTCCCAACAACATGGTATAGTGACAACTGCTATTCATCTTCTACCTCTTCTAGTGGAAATATTTTAGTTTCCTGCTATTTTCACCACAGTAGCAGGAGACTCAACTCTTATCTTCACCTAGGACTATCCCTAGAATATTGAGGGATCACAGAAAAACAAGAAATGCTTCAAGTTGTCTCTGTCTAGTTTTTATTTTTAATCAGAAAAGTCTTAGGTAAATATCAAATTTTAAGAATCCATCTGAAGATATATAAGAATTATTTCTAGGACATTAATTTTTAAGTAAAATATTGTTCAGGTTTAGCTCTGTTACCTCTGCTTCTACATCCACATTTTGCTTCAAAAGTAACTTCAAAATGTCAACATGTCCATTCTGACTAGCAGCTTGCATGGCTGTGTGGCCAGCACATTGTCCATTTACCTAAATTTAAAAAAAAAAAAAAAAGAATGAATGAATGTCAAAAATCAGAAAGAGTCAATATATACATATAGTATAGGTTTAAATCTGCAATACTGTATGAGTCTATAAGAATAATTTTAGTTGATGTACCATATATCATAGTACTGATAACCAGAGACTTTAATTTAAAGAAGAGCAAGCAATTTTTAAAAAACAAAAGTCCAATGATTCAAAAATTTATGAAAGAACTGTTCAGTCAATCTGCAAAGTCAAAAGAAGAAAGGAAGGGAAAGAGGAAGGAAAGGAAGAAGTTTTATATACATACTTTTAAAATTATTAAGTTTCAGAGTCCACGGTTCAATGAAAAAAGCACTGAGATGAACAGAAAACTTTTGGAAAAGATAGACATTGGGAGTTCCAGCAAAAGTAAATTCAATGAAACAAATATACCAAATACCAATTATAGTCAAACTTTCATGAAGGATATAAAAATGAGTTCGCAAGGTGGCTAGATACAGCTATTATGTTACAAAGCAGTAAAGTCCAAAAAATTTCCTTCACTTCAGATGTTTTGTAGATAGTAACTTACCCATGGACATACCCAAGCCCAAGAGCAATTCCTTAATTCAATCCCTTAACTTCCATCCATAAAACCATAAAAGACAGTTAAAGATGGTAGCCTAGTCACACATTTATATCTATCTTTCCTGAGACCACACTAAAATAATAGTAAAACAATTTAAAATATAATAATCCAAAAGGATAAAAGGAGAACTAACATTGGAAAACAAGAAAAAGGCAACACATTTGTGAAAAAGAGAAAACAGATGGAAAAGCATTAATTGACTTTATAAGAAGAGGAAGTCAAAGCATAAAGGGCACAGGGAACCGCAGACAAACATTAACGGGCTAAAAGAATATAGTCTGATGTGCAACGGCCGTACTCCAACCCTATTCCTCAAACTCAGGGACAGAGCACTAGTAGCTTGCATCTCATTTCTAGAAAGGAAAAAGGAAGTTTCTTGCCCTGAACAACTAAACAGCCATAGAGAACAGATTCCTACACGATGGCATTTGGAAATTTTCAAAAGCTCAAAATGCCCGATCACCCTAATACAAAGTTAGTTAACAAGTACTGTCGAGGTGAAGAAAGCTACCAATCAGTTTTATAATATCTTATTCATAATGTCCATATGAAAGGACAGCCAAAGATCAGAGATTTGAGGAAGACCTCAAATACAAAAACAGGCAAAATTAAAAAGAAACAGAAATAACTCTGGAAGAAAGAAAGAGTTAAAAAAAAAACTTTGGGAAAAAGTTTTCAACTAGAGATATTGAAGAATACTTTTAATCTAGAAATCAGAGGAATGCTAGGAAAAACAGGAAAACTAAGGTGAAAAATTTCCACTAGAAGAGGTGGAGGATGGGTAGACAAGAGACCAACACTTTTCTGTCCTATAAGACTTTTAAAAAGTATATCCTTCTTATATTCATGTTTTTAAATTAAAGGGTGGGTTGCATTTATTTTCATCACCTCCTGACATATTACTAGAGTAAGGATGTTTTTTTAAAGCCTCAACCTACAAGGATAATTAGAACTAGAAAAAAATAGAATACACAAAGATAAGCTCAAACACACACACACACACATATACACTGGAAACTGGAAAGCGGATCAACAAGTAGAACTGACTTGGCAAACCAAAGAAAGCAGACATAAGCCAGCCATGAGAAAAACTTAGAAGCAATCCTTTTACCAAAGATCCCCAAAAGCTCAGAATTGGTGAATAGATATCTCTGGAAATGGGGATAACTATGGTGGTGGGTGCTAAACACAAAAGCATTGGTTCAAAGTTCCCTTAAAAAGCGTTCCAATCTCTGGATTCTTCCACACTGCACAGCTATATACAACTATAATATTATAAAGTTGACCAGGCACAATGGCTCATACCTATGATCCCAGCACTTTGGGAGGTGGAGGTGAGAGGATTGTCTGAGCTCAGGGGTTTGACACCAACCAGAGCAACTTGGCACGACTTCATCTCTACAATAAATAAAAAAAATTAGCTGGGCATGGTAGCGCACACCTGTAGTTCCAGCTACTTGGAAGGCTGCGGCAAAGGATCACCTAAGCCCAGCAGGTGGAGGCTGTGGTAGGTGTGAGCGTATGACTGCACTCCAACCTGGTCAACAGAATTAAACTCTGACTCAAAAAACAAATAAATAGATAAATAAATGTTATATTTTCTATCCTTATACAAATAGAAACCTGAAAGTTTGTTCCTGGAAAGACTAGAATTTTTAGCCTACGGAAACTAGGCACTGTGAAAGGCGAGGCACAGCACTAAAAATTGAAGTTTTATGTGAATAATTACAAGTTGAATGTTGAGAAGCCAAGTTCTCTTCCCTTATTATTGAATGTTAGTCAATATTCAAAAGACTGGCAGCCAGGTTGATACCGTCGAAGCAAGAGAAACAAGAGGCCTCTCTGGGTAGTCAGACCAGCCCAGGGGAAAAGACACAATGAATGACCAATGCCAGGAGTAACCCAAAGAAGCATTCCATCAGATCGCCCCAGACTGAAGTAGAGAGTTGACAGACCCATTCACAGACACAGTAGCTTTCAAATAAGACCTTTTATTGTCCACTCTCATAGGTAAATAAACAATCCAAGATCAACAGACATCTAAGGAATGGGCTCTGACATGAAAAACAGAGGTCAAGTCAAACAGAAATGAGCAACTTAGAGAAGACAAAAACTTAATCAGAGACAAGAAAAGGTAAAGAAAAAAAGTCTATCAATAGTATACTCAGTAAGGAAAGATGATATTGTATTCTCTTTAAACACCATCATACTACCATAAAAAGGAATGTGAAAAGACCAACCAAAGAAAAGGCTTGAAATTCTAAACTGATGGGATAATGCAAACCTCAAAAGGAGAAAAAAAGGAAGATTAAGTTAAGGAACCTCTCCAAAAGGGGGTGGAGAAGAAAAAAACAGACAAAAAAAAGAACATTCAAGGAATAGTCCGGAATCAGGGAAAATAGAAAAAAAGAAAATCACCAATAAAATAACTGTAGAAAGTTTTGCAGATATGAAAGACATCACTTCCAGATTTGAAAGGTCAAGCATCTAAAGCAACAGGTGAAAACAGATACACAATAAGGCACATAATTATGCAAGCTCAGAACATTGACAAAAAAAGAAATTCTCATGCTTAAGAGAAAAACAAAGTTCACATGTAGGGTCAGAAATCAGAATGGCTTAAGTTTTTCAATGGTAATTCTGGAATTATTCTGAAGAAAAATAATTTCTAACCTAGAATTCTATTCCCATATAAAACTTAATCATGAGACTTAAAAAAAAATCAGACCTTAAATATCTACTTCCTATACATCCCTTCTCAGAAGCTAGTAGAAACTATACTTCTAAAAGAGAGAATAAATGTGGAAATAGGGGATACAGAAAACAATAAATGCAACACGGGAGAGAGGAGAGGGACGATGAGTAAGAACACACTCCAAATGGGTATGAAGTGTACAGGGCTCCCTGTGTGCACAGAACACGCAGAAGGCACTAAAAAACTTCTCCCAAAAGATGAAAGGAACACCTATCTGATGAGCCTAAATGTCTTGGGAGATTAGACAAATAGAGATGAGTTTGGAAAAAAATTAATTGTAAAAATACAGATTATGAACAAATATAAAAATTATGTGTAAGGTGTATAGGACTGGGAAAGACCACAGGTCAACTTTTAGGAATAAAAGAAACAGTCTACACGTTAAAAGGGGTGTGGACTACGTGAGTATATGCATTTGTCAAAACTGGTTGATCCACATACTTCGCTGTATTATATCTCAGTTTTTTAAAAAGGACAACTATGAATTCCAATGAAAAGAAAAGTTGTGTAGGAAAACAAAACCTAATACACTCTACAGCTCAGTTATGAATGTCACTTGCATGAAAACAAAATTACAATACAATCTAACCACTCGAAGAAGCTGGAAAGCGTGTCTGGTTAGGATGGGATGAAGGTGGTTAAGAAAAAGCTAAATCCTTACCTTCCATAGTAAGATATCGAAAGAAAGAGAGAAGGGGCGGGGAAGGGGAGGGAGAAAACCAAGACATAACAACAGAGGTATGTTACTGGAAGATTCAGAGATTCAAATACGAAGAATGTTAGCTAAAAGACCTAAGAATAGTCACTTCTGAAGAACAGGAAAACAGGGATGAGAAGGAGAGGGTGTTGTTTTTCCTAATAGACCTTACAGAACTATTTTTCACTTTAAAATTTTTAGTATGTATGACACAAAAAATAAATTAATTAAATGAAGAAAAAAATTAAGTATAACAAAAATCAAATCTGCTTGACTAAATATAAAGGAAGTCTGACTATTTCAAACAAAAAATATTTGGTATTTCAATATCTGAAGCAAACTATTTGTAATATATCTCACAACCAATCAACAAATTGCTGTATTGTGTTACTACAACTGATATCTCTAATAAAGCTCAAATGTCATATGAGCTTATAGGGGAAATAAGACATGAATACAATACTGCTATTAATCTATGTCAGACTGTCTCATATACTTAAATACAAACATACAAAAAAGTAGCAACAAAAGCCTTTATAACCCAATGAGAATAATTCAAATTGCCACTCCAACCACAGTATCTTGACTGACATTGAACATAATATTGCTGCCATAGTATCAATCACAAAGCCAAAGTACAATAAGGAAGCCAGAATCAAAACTGCCCACTTAAAAGATGGCTTGTGGCCAGGCACGGTGGCTCAGACTGTAATCCCAGCACTTTGGGAGGCCAAGGCGAGAGGACTGCCTGAGCCCAGGGGTTCGAGACCAGCCTGGGCAACTTGGTGAGACCTCGTCTCTACAATAAATCACAAAAATTAGCAGGATGTGGTGGCGTATGTCTGTAGTTCCAGCTACTTGGAAGGCTGAGGCAGAAGGATCGCCCTAAGCCCAGCAGGTCGAGGCTGCGGTGGCCATAAGCGTGCCACTGCACTCCAGTCTGGGCAACAGAGTAAGACTCCAACAGACACAAAAAAATAAAGATGGCTTGTGTGAATGGCAAAACCACAGCATAATCTAGGAAGAGTCATACAACACATGGCCTCTAATTCATCTGCCTTATAAAGTGTAAAATAGTCAACTTTCATGAGGTGGGGAGCAGGAGGGAGAGGTTAGAGTAAATGTTTCAAAAAGAGGGATATTTACTAAAATATATTTAAAAGATATCATAAAATGATATTTATATGAAAAAAATTACTGAATTACCCAAAAGGACACTGATCACCTAAATGCCTAAATCTAAGTTTTGTCAACCATAAAATCTAAAATGTCAAATAAGAAAATGTCAATATTTTTTGGAAATGCAAACTGAAGAATGATGCCTGATGTCTGCTTTAAAACACCTCAGAAAAAAACCAAAAGAATGAATAAATGAAGCACGCATAATGAAATCTTAATAATTGCTGAAGATAAAGTTCATTATACTATTCTACTTTTGTATGTGCTTCCAAACACTTTTTAAAATACTCACATCCACATCTGGTCTTTTTAGCAAATCTTCCACTTTAGCAACATCTCCGTTGGCAGCAGCCTTAACTAATTCTTCATTGAGGTCACCAGACTCTTGGGTTTCAAATAATTTCTTTAAGAGTTGTGAGAGTCTTTCTGTAAAGCAACAAATAAAGCCTCTGATATAGAAGAATCTCAAACCTTAACTACTAAACAACAAATGATTACACATATTCCTATAATCTTCACCTATTTTATTTATATTATTGTTATTTCTTCTACTATGCTACAGATGATGACCCATGAAAGTTATAATCATTACTGCATCAAGCTAAGTTAAATTCACGTATTACAAATTTTCTCCAATTCATGTATTTCAAACTATAATTTTTGAAAAAGTAAAGAGTAACATACTAGTAATAATTCAAGATTTAGAAATCATGCCAAAGATGTTATGAATGAACACACTCCTTTCAGGTTTCAAGCACACCACAGTGACCCTCAGCGCTCAATACTACAGACCTTAGAATAATAATTCAACAGAGCAGTGACTATGATTCAAAAGTAACATATTCTCTGTGATATCTGGGGACATATTTTAGGGACAAACCAATTTTATTTCAGTTGAAAATGGACATTTAAATGTTAAAAATATACTTCAGTCAGTGTCGATTGGTTTTGACAAAAACAAGAATGAACCAGGGATGAATATACCAAGACACTTTCATAAGATTTTTTTTTTCTAAACAGTATCACTCGAAGCTACCAAATTCTACTCCTTAATTCTTGGGGCACTTATTGGAAAGCAGAGAAACCACAAAGTGGGGCAAGGGATAAATCACAAAGTGGGCCAAGTCCACGTGTTTGAGTAGAGACTATAAACCTCCCTTCAGTCTTTTACTTTGCATGTAGTCTGCCTACTGTGATGCCATCTAATCTCAAGGTAAAAATAGACCTACCTGATTTAAACTTTAAGCACACTAGCAAATTACTGCAGGAAAGAAAAGACAAAAAGCAGAGGAAGTAATAAGTAGTACAAAAATGTAACTGGAGGTCTCCTAATGTTTCCTTTTGTTTCTTACTATACACAATTACAGTCTACCTTCTTTTACAGATGACAATGTGCATACAGTAACGTAATATGCAGTAGAATGAAGTGAACTTATGCAAATAAAGCTGGAGCATAGGAAGGAAAGACTTTGGAAATGAATCTCCCCAAGCATCCAGTATACTCACATTTTAACATAGTTTTCTATTCATTATGACATATGTAAGAATTCTTATTAAATGGTAAGAGAAAGATATATAGCTGATATACAAGAAGAAAGCCATCTGCAGGCAATCGTGTTGGAAATAAAATAAGCCGTCTAAGAAACTGATGGTTCTTTGGCAGAAAACAAAAATTCCGACTAAAGAGTACGATGTGAATTTCAGTTATCTCAGATTTGATGGAAAGAATACTCTGATATACACAAGAAAAGGCACATGCTTATGGAACACTTCCAGGGAGTACCTTAGCCAGAATAAGTGTTGCTCATCACATAAAGGAAGAAAAAACTTTAGTGGACGTTTAAAAGGTGATCCAACATTCAAGTGGGGCTGTATAATCTAGAAGAAAGCCAAGCATACATATAACACTATCCGGATATGAGAATTGGGGAATTAGCAAAGGTTTTCATGTAAATTATATTACTTTTAAAGAAACACAATACAAAACATACCACCAGATGCATTGCTGATGGCCGATCCGGCAGATGCCACCTTGGAAACTGCTGCGGGATTATATGTCCAAGATGTACCACAAACTTCCACCTTTAAATCGCTGTCTGAATAAATCTGTTGTACTCGGCCAACTTTACCTAAAGTCTTGAAAAAAACTTAGGTTCATGTTTCCAAGTCTAAAGCATATACCATAAAATCAACTACCAGTTCTTATATGTTTAATGTATTAATTTTCCTTGCTCCTAATGAAAAAGCTTTTAAAGGATAATCATATTCAAATGTATTATTTATTTACTTATTTTATTCTGAGTTAGGGTCTCACACTGACACCAAGGTTGAAGTGCAGTGGCAAAATCACAGCTCACCACAGCCTTGACCTTCTGGCTGAGGCAATCCTCCCACCTCAGCCTCCCAAGTAGCTGGGACTACAGACCCATGCCACCATGCCTGGCTAATTTTTTCATTTTTTCCAGATATAAGGTCTCAAAAAATGTTGCCTAGGCTGGTCTCAAACTCCTGGGCTTGAGCAGTCCTCCTGCCTCGGCCTCCCACAGTGCTGGGAGGTATAAGCCATAGCATTCAACCTTAAGTAGGTTATTTATTAGTAATAAACTTTAAAGAATATCATTAAAAATTATTTTAATAAATAAAACTCCTATTTTCTCTAAGAATACAAAAGACAAATCATGGTAAGTCTATTTTATGCATAAAAGTTCATAAAAATTGTTTTTACATATATTCAACCTTCCTTTTTTAATTCTGAAAGATACATACTAAGAACTTTCAACTCAATAGTCCAAAAGTCATCATCAGTATAGCCTAAAAAAAGAAAATCTGATTTCTAGGTCAAAAGGGCTCAAGTTTACATCTATGTTTAAACCTTTTTTTAGAATCACCCTTGATTCTAAAAACAAGAGTGTAGAAATAACATGTATACTAAAGATATGGAATCAGAAGGGTGGTCACATCAGCAGCAGTGGAAACTCTTACCATGTGGCAGACACTGTTCTTAGAGCTTTAAATGTATTGACTCACCAAATATGTATAACCTTGAAATTCAAGTGCTATTATTAGCCCTACTTCCCTCTTGGGTCTAAAATCTATTCAATAGGACAGCAGATAACAATATTAGAAAATCAGTGAAGAACAGTGATTATATCTGACAACCTCCTAACAAAGAGAGGCAACTAACTGCCCTTGAATGTTTTCTCCTTTGACTTCACTACAACATTGGACCCCAACTTCTTGAAACAATTCCCTTGATTTCTGGATGACAGTCTGATCTTTCTGCCAGTTCCTTCCCTTTCTCCACTGACCAGTTCCTTTTTCTTCCTCAGATTCCTAAATCTGTTCATTTTCTCAAAATTTTATTCCTTAGGTTTTTGCTCTATTGATTGAAAATTCAATCTTCTTTGACAACTATCATCTTTTTTTCAAAAACACCAAAATTACCCTTCATCCCCCCCATGCATCAACATATACAAAAGTAGATAGTAGTATACAGTATTCAGTCCTCGTGTACCCACCACCAGTTGCAACAATTATCAGCTCACAGCCAATCTTGTCTCATTTATTCCCTACACACTCTAGCTGCCCATATTATTTCAGTATGCATCTCTAAACAATAAGAACTCTTTTTAAACTATCTACAATATGATTTATCACCTGTTAACCCAAACTCATTGATAATTCTATATAATAAAATTCTAGTGCTCAAATTTTCAACTGCACCATAAATGATCAATTTTTTTAGTTTGTTTAAATCAAGATCCAAATAAAGTTCACATTTTTTTTTTTTTGCAAGTTACTTGTTGAAGAAGCAGAGTTATTTGTGCTATGAAGTTTCTTACAATCTGAATTTTGCTACTTGGTGTAGTTTAATAGGTTCATCTGTCTTCTGTATGTGAGCAGTGAGAACTCCCTCAAGTTGGCTGCTAGGTCCTTTCAAGATGAACCTAGAACTCTTTGATACTGTCCATGTTATCTGGTATGAGGTTCATCTTGTTCATTTCCTGCCAAAGTGCTAGAATTAGTCATTTTCCAAAAAAAAGCCTTGGTTCTTTACTGAGGGAAAGGCTGTTTGAAAACCATAAAGTGGGTATAAAGTTTAGCTGTTACTAGAATGTTCACTGTTCTGAAGTCTTTTTTCGTGAATACAGCTAGGAAATAGGGGGTTTTGTTTTGCTTTTAAAGATAAAATAAACTCTGAGTTCAATCACTCTTCCAATTCAAATTCAAGGCTACAGAATTCAAATCCAATTCGAATTCAAGGCTACCTCATCTCTATAACATTGATATCTCCTTTTCCTACTCTGATAATTCTTGTTCACAAGGTCATTTAGGATAACAGAACTAGAATAATCATATAAGTACTCACTTGTTCTTTTGGCTACATACAACAATCTCAGAATAACAGTATCAACACTACCACATACAACAAAATTTCTGAAAGTAGTTAAATATTTTCCTTCCATGCAATTCTTTAAGCTATATTCTTCCTATAAACATATAAAGAAAAATTACTGTATTGAAAAATCACTTGGAATTTCCTCTTGCGTGATTAGTTTTATTTCATTTTCCACATTAGTAGTTTCCTTTAAATTTAATTTTTACAATTATATAACATGTGTGTGGTTTCAAATCAAATCAAACCTATAAAACCAGACATAGTCAAATATATCTCCCTTCTAATCTGTCTTATTCTCTATATCCTATATACCTATATATACCTATATCCTATTTCCTTTTTATATAGGAGTAAATGCTGTAAAATAAATCATGAGTTCAAACACTCTCCCCTTCAAATTCAAGACTATAGGGTTTTATGTAGGAATAAACCTTATAAAAATCCTTTATAAATCTGATATATTATATCCTATGCTATTTTTTATATACCCAATATTCTATTCTTTTTATATAGGTAATACCTTTTTTAAAACTTCATCATGTATCTTTCCATTGTTTTCTTTTTTTCTTTCTTTTCTTTTTATTTTTATTTTTAGAGACAGGGACTCACTCACGCCGTCACCTAGGCTGGAGTGCAGTGGCACCGTCACAGCTCACTGCAGCCTCAAACTCTGAGACTCAAGAGATTCTTCCACCACAGTGTCAGGTACACATTATAATATACGACTATTATTTTTTATTGCTTTCTTTTTTTTTTATTGCAAACTTTTAATATAAAGTTTGGATTGCCCTAATAGTTATGTTTACAGTAATACCTTTACATATACATATTTTTTCCTTCTTTTAAATATACATACATATAGTCTATTGATTCCCTAGTATGTGCAATATCGAAATTAATCATTCAAATGCCCTTACCCTCTCTCCCCTAATATTTTGATCTAAAAGAATAGTATTTATTCGCAGTTAAAATAACTAAAAGGCAGCCAGGTTCAGTGGCTCAGCCTATAATCCCAGCACTTTGAGAGGCAGAGGCAAGTGGATTGTCTGAGCCCACGGGTTTGAGACCTGCCTGGGCAACTTGGTGAGACCTCAAAATAAAAAATTAGCCGGGCGTGGTAGCGTGTGCCTGTAGTTCCAGTTACTTGGAAGGCTGAGGCAGAAGGATCTCCAGAACCCAGCAGGTCAAGGCTACGGTGGCCGGGAGCATGCCACTGCACTCCAGTCTGGGTGACAGAGTGAGACTCCAACTCAAAAATAATAATAATAACTAAAATGCAAACAGCTTCTTAAACATGTTCTCTCTATTCCTACCCTATTTTGTTTTTTAATATTTTTTTCATTTAAATTTTTTTTAATATAGAGGCATAGTCTTGCTACATTACCCAGGTTGATCTTGAACTCCTGACCTCAAACAATCTTTCCACCTTGGCCTCCCAAAGGGTTGAGATTATAGGAGTGAGACACAACACCTAGCTCCACCTCATTTTTCTCAGCCTTTATAACCACTATTTAATCTTAGCCCAACAGATAAATATATATTTCTTGATCACCAGTCCTTCAGTTGATATTTCTATGATAATTATGGTTACCTGAAACTCATTCTCTAGGTTACTTAGAAAGGGTTCATGGGGACAAGATTCCATAAATCCTTACATATATACTTTTTGGTTTTTGAGCCAGAGTCTCATTCTGTCACCCAGGCTAGAGTGCAGTGGCACGCTCACCGCCACCACAGCCTCAACCTGCTGGGCTCAGACGATCCTTCTGCCTCAGGCTTCCAAGTAGATGGAACCATAGGTGCAAGCCACCACGCCCAGCTAATTATTTTATTTATTGTAGAGATGAGGTCTCACCAAATTCCCCAGGCTTATCTCAAGTCCCTGGGCTCAGGCAATCCTCTTGTCCCAGGCTCCCAAAGTGGTGGCTTACAGGGGTGAGCTACTGCGCCCAGCTGAACCCTTACATATGTATAGTAGTCTGTAGCCTTGACTCTTGAAAGTCAGTTTGATTACATATAAAATCTTCCCCTTAAATTTTCTTTCCTTGAGTATCTTAAATAAATGTCATTTCACTGTTTTAAAACAATCAGATTAAATTTTTTCTTAACAGCAAAATTAGTTTCTTTCCTTTAGGACCAATAATTTGGTCTTTTTTTCTTGACAATCAAATAGTTTTTTGTGGTTTTTTTCTTAAAGGTATGGTTATTTCAACAGAACATAGCATTTGATGTTCTGGGCAGCTTTCCCAGGTATACAATGTACTCCTTTAACACTTCATTTCAAATTGTTTTTTTAAGTTCAGGAATTTTTTTTGAAAATTTTAGTATTTGTTTCATTCCATATCTTTGGATTTTGTTTTCTCTTCTTCTAAGAATACCTAACATACTTCATATTGGATATTTCACATTTGTCACTTTTTCTGGAATACTATTTACCTTTTTAGTTTTAAATTTTTCCTACCTTATATTTCTCTTAAGGCATTATCTGTTATATTTATTTGCTGTGTTTCTTCTAGCTTGGTCTCCTCTTCTGAAATGATATTTTATCTTCTTCTTAATCATTTCCTAAGTTCTATCACTTCATTTCTAATTATGATTTATTTTATTCTTCTATATCATATCAAGTTCTTACATTCTTTTAGTTCATTTTGAATTAGTAGATTTTTGTTTTTATCAGTTTTCTGTACATATCTTTCTGATGTACTTTATCTGTAGAGAAGTTATTCTATTCCCTGCTCTCTTTTACAAAAATAACTGCGTATGAGGATTTAACCATGATCCCATCCAGTTTTGTTTTTTTTTTAATATTCCAGAATCTTTATTTTTTATTTATTTTTATTTTTTGAGTCGGAGTCTCACTCTGCCGCCCAGACTGGAGTGCAGTGGCCGCTCCCGGCCACCGCAGCCTCGCCTGCTGGGCTCCAGCGATCCTTCCGCCTCAGCCTTCCGAGTAGCCGGAATTACAGGCATACGCTATCACGCCTAGCTGATTTTTTGATTTATGGTAGAGATGAGGTCTCGCTGCCCAGGCGGGTCTCGAACCCGCGGGCTCAGGCAATCCACTCACCTCAGCCTCCCAAAGGCGCGGGATTACAGGCTGAGCCACCGAGCCCGGCCCCATCCAGTTTTTATCTGGACCTATTCTTTCTCTTGTCCCTAACTGTCTCTGTCTTACTCAATTTTGTTTCTCTTCCCAGCACTTTCTCTTCAAAGTGAGGCTTGTCTTGGAAGGAAGCCTTGGCTCATCAGTTTTAAGAGTCTCTAGGCCCAGGTTGCTCCAGTCCTTTCACACTTTAGCATGGCCCTATTGCTCTCATCCCAAACCGGAATCTGCATGCGCCGGCCCAGGTCCAGCTGCCACTGGGACACGAATATACCACACTAGCCAGTGAACATCTGTTAGCTCTTTTGGAGCTTTCCTGCTCTCAGGTCTATCAGATGCCCCTTAATTTTCTCCACTGCCATACAGAGAGATGTAGACCACTACTTGTCAGTAGTTTATCTCTATTCATTCATATTTTAGGGTACTCTGTCACCTATCTTTGTTATAAACATTTGTAGCTTTTTTGGCTACGCTAATTTAGTTGTCTGCTTTTACCAAGAGGATATGAGAAGATGCAAAATCTACATCACAACTACTGGAATCTTAACCATCCCCTCTGGAATTATCCAGAAGTTTTGTTCACATAGCAGTTTGATATGGCAGAAAGAATACTTAGGTTTTGAAAACAGATCTGGGGTCAAAATTCCAGTTCAGAATCTTATCTCTGATTTCCTCATCTTTAAAATAAGGATGCTATACCACCACCTACTTGTAATATTGCTAAGATAAACAGTCTGCATCTGTGTGTGCATGTGTGTGCACACGTGTGTGTGTGTACATACATGCATACATGTTCAGCAACTACAAAATATGAAATGTATTTAAATGAAAGCACCATAACAACAGAGACTTTTTTTCTGTTTTGTTCATTATTGTAGCCCTGAAGCCTAACAGGCACATTGTATGTGCTAAAACATCTGCTGAGGAAATAAGATACAAAGGACAGATGGATTTATGGAAGGACAGGACAATAGGAATGGCAGGAAGGAGGAACTAGACAGGATGGGAAGAGATTAGACAGGACAGGAGTTGGGGCTAGATAGGAAGAGAAGGAGGTGCTAACCAGGAGACAAGGATGAAACAACCTAGCAGGATGGGGTGATGAGATACCAAGAAGAATGGGAGAAGAGATACATGGGACAGATGGGACACTGAATTGGACTGGAATGGAAGGGACAGACAGGAGAGGAGCTGAGAGACTGGTGAGGCAGAAGAGGGTGGAAGGCAAGGTGGAGAACTCAAGGGGAGGACACAGCAGGGTGGAGGATGGGAGACAGGACAAGACAGCGTGGAAGGGAGCAGGGTGACACAGGATAGCACAGAAGAGGGGACAGAAGAACAGAAGCAAGGGATACAGACAGAGAAAGAGAAGGATGGATGCAAGAAGGACAGAACAAACAAATCTGTTTGCTGTTGCTAAACATCTGATAAAAAAAATTATATAATTTAAAAAATTAAACTGTAGAGGGGCAAAACTACCCTCAGATGGCATACATATGAGCTGCTCAAATCAGGAAAAACTACAGTGGTTCAGAAATGCCAGAGATTGGATGAGCACATACCTATTTCATTCTGGGATTAAGTAATCATGAAAGCCTCTCCTGACATACCACGCTACATTCTCCACAAAAAACATTAACTGGGATGAGCATGGTAGCTCACATCTATAATCTCAGCACTTTGGAAAGCTAAAGCAGAAGGATTGCTTGAACCCAGGAGTTCAAGACCAGCATGGACAATACAGTGACTTCATCTCTACAAAAAAATTTCAAAAAATTAGCCGAGTGTGGCAGTGCATGCCTGTAGTCCCAGTTTCTCAAGAGGCTGAGATGGGAGAAGCATTTGAGTCCAAGAGGCTGAGGCTGCAGTAAGCCGGGATTGCACCAGCCTCGGTGACAGTAAGAACTCAACTCAAAAACACACAAATAAACGTTAACTGGTCAGGTTATACCTATAATCCCAGAGTTTTGGGAGGGGGATGCTTGAGACCAGCCTCGGCAACATAGGAAAACTCCATCTCTACAAAAAAAATGTAAAATCAGTCAGGCATGGTGGTGCACACCTATAGTCCTAGCTACTTGGGAGGCTAAAGTAGGAGGACTGTTTGAGCCCAGGACCTGGAGGCTGCAGTGAGCCATAATAATGCCACTGCACTCCAGCCTGGGTGATACAGTGAGATCCTGGCTCAAAACACACACACACACACACACCCATACCCTTTCTGGACCATCCCAGGATAATGTAACTGAAATAAATTAGAAAAAAAAATAAAAGATGAATATATGGAGAGTACAATTCCAGGAAGGCTTATGCCAATACAATTCCTAAGATTAATTTACTTTCAAAGATGACATAAGCAAAGTATAATTCCTAACGCCTATAATCCAAGCGCTTTAGTAGGAGGCTGAGGTGGGAGGACTGCTTGAGGCCAGGAGTTCAAGATCTGCCTGGGCAACATAGCGAGATCCTGTCTCCACAAAACAATTAGCCAGGTGTAGTGGTGTACACCTGTAGTTCCAGTTACTTGAGAGGCTGAGGTAGAAGAATCACCTAAGCCCACAAGATCAAGGCAGCTACAGTGAGCCATGATTGTGCTGCTACACTCCAGCCTGGGCAACAGAGTGATCCCCTGCCTCAAGAAAAATATATATATATATTCTATATATACTTACTGGAAGCATCGCTTCAGCCCATTCGCCATGTCCTCTTTGTAGAAGTTTAATTCTTTCCAGATCATAACAAACTTGTACAAGGTCACCCACTTGAAACTGTGAGGTGCCTCCTTCTGCACCCTGGGCAGCATCCCCACTTCGGACAATGTTTGCTTTAGTGAGAACAGCAGGATTAAAGGTCCACCTACGAGAGCAAAGCCACACTCACAATGGGTAGCCTGACTTCATTTTAACACAACATTCTTAGTTAAACACTACAGATCAAAAGAATATGGCAATCCTCTGCAATTATATCCTGAAAGATTTCTATTTCCTTTTTATAATTTTATTACACAAGTCTTGGAAAAAAGTAATTCATCATCTCCCCATCCTAACATAAGTATTAATGTATTAACATTTTAGTATATTTATTCTCCCCTGCATGTGTTTAAAAATCTTTATAAAAGTAATGCATGATCATTGTTAAAAACTCAAAACATTTCAGAAACACATTAAATAAAATTCATTTCACATAAACACCCTGGATCCCATGCCACTAGAAACCACTACTAATGTCCTATTATGTATCCTTACAGACCTTCTATCAATATGTTGAGTGGCATAATGTAGAGAGTTTTTTCCATAATTGAATCCCGTGTGTGTGTGTGTGTGTGTGTGTGTATTTCTGTGGCTTATTTTTTTCTCAGATAATGCATCTTGGAAGTTTTTTTGATGTCACATACAGATCTATGTAATTCAATTAAACTGCTACAGAGTATTCTATGACTTGGATATATACCAATGTACTTAACTATTCTCCTACTGACTATATTTGAAGTACTATCAGATTTTTACTAGTACATATAACACTATAAAAAACATTCCTGTATGTACATCTTTGGGCACATAAGGTTAGTATTTTACCAGAGCTTCTTCAAAAACTACCTGATCAAAATATATATTTGTTTACAATTCTGACAGAATCAAACTGTTCTATAAAGAGTGTAACATTTCCCCACACCACTGCCAATTCCACAGATAAAAATAGTACCTAGTTTTAATTCCCCATGCATGAGTATTTAACGTAACTGTAATCATCATAGCAAACAAATTTGGATTCTGACTTATTTTACATAAGCATTTTCCATGCTGTTTCAGAACCATCACTGTAATGACTACTTAATATCCCATCAGATAGAGGTACAACAATGGATAACATAACACTTTCCCCGATCCCACATTGAACTCCAAGAAAAAAAGATTCCCTTGTCAAGCAATTTCTACAATATTGGCATATTACATTCTCTTCTCCTTAATTCAAAAGGTTACTAGCATACAAAAGACTCTGAGAAGTCACACTATATAAAAACCTGTGTACTGTAGTCCTGTAACCATGCAAGTAAGCTTTACTCTCTAAAGCAACCCAAACAGAAAGATGTGCCACACAGTTTTCTCTTCAGCCTTACCAACCCAACAACAGTGCCCTCTACCTCATTCCCAATAATCCAAAGTGTACTAGACCTGCTACAGTGGTTGAACAGAGCAGCATTTACTCAAGCTGCTCCCTCAGCCTAGGGTGCTCTCCCCAGTGACATCTGGTCTATCCTCTAAATTTGCTGCAGGCATAATTTTGTCTCACAAATTTTCTTTAATTTGTCAAATAGAAATGACCACTCTTCTCTTAGGCCCTCGGACCCTAAGTAGTTGCCTATCATATTACTTATAACATTTTATCGCAATTATTTCTCATTTTGTCTTCCCAAACTAAAAAGGAAACTCCTTCAAAGCAGGGGACTACATCTTAATTATCTTTATAATCCTAAGTACAGGGCATAATACAAAATAAGCACTAAATTCTGTCAAATAAAGAACAAAAAAGATTTTCTAGAACTCAAATTCATATTACTATTAACACTCTATGCCCAAGAAAAAATTCTAAATGAGAATTCTACAAGTAATTTGTGCTAACCTAATATTCCCAAACAACAAACAAGAGAATGTTTAACATAAAATGTGTTAGTATTTGCTAATCAGAATTTAAATTTATATCTTTAAGACTTTTTCTTTTTAAAAAAATTGTTAAATAATAATTGTACTTTGTTTCACTTTATTTTTTAGAAACAGGTTCTCACTCTTTCACCCAAGCTGGGTACAGTGGTACAATCAGAGCTCACTGCAGCCTTGACCTCCTGGGCTCATGCAATCCTCTTACCTCGGTCTGGCAGATTTATTTTGTAGAGGTAGAGTCTCACTGTTGCCTAGGTCTCAAACTCCTTGCCTCATGTAAGCCTTCCACCTCTGTCTCCCAAATGTCTGGGATCACAGGCATGGGCCACTGTACCCAGTCTTACTCTTTTTTTTAGTAACAGCTCTATTAAGATATAGTTTGTGTACCATACAATTCACCCACTGTGTAATTTAGTGGTTTCTAGTATTTTCAGTTGTACAACCATCACCACTACTTAATTTCATTTCCATCACCTCATAAAGATAAAACCCATAACTACTAGTAATCACTCCATATTTACGCCCTCTGTTCCACCCATAAATAACCAGTAATATACTTTGTTTCTACTGATTTGCTTATTTTGAACATTTTATACAAAAAAAGTCACACAATATGTGATCTGTGTGACTGGTTTCTTTCACTTAGCATAATGTTTGCAAGATTCATCTAGGTTACTGTATGTGTCAGTACTCTATTCTTTTTTTGGATGAATAATATTTCATTGCATGGATACATCACATTTTGCTTATCCATTCATCAGTTGATGGGCATTTAGGTTGCTTCTACTTTTTGGCTCTTATAAGTAATGCTTTTCTACAGACATTCACATATAGGTTTTAGTGTGGACACATGTTTTCAGTTCTCTGAGGTATATACCTAAAACTGGAACTGCTGGGTCACATAGTAAATCTATGGTTTAACATTTTGAGGAATTCCCAAACAGTGTTTTAAAGCAACTTTACCATTTTACAGTGCCAATAGCAATTTATGAGGGTTCTAGTTTCTCTACAGCCTCACCAACACTTGTTATCTGACTCTTTTATTCTAGCCATTCTAGTGTGTAGAGTGGTATGTCATGGTGGTTTTGTTTTGCATTTCCCTACTAACTAATGATGTAGAGCACAGTTCATGGTTGTTATAAATTGAACTATGTTTCTCCAGAATTCATATGTTGAAGCCATAACTCAACCCCCAATGTAAGACATCTTTACAGAAGTAATTAAGATTAAATGAGGGTACATAGGTGGGGCCCTAATCCAATAGGGCTGGTGATCTTATACGAGTAACAGGCACCACAGATCTCTCGCGCTCCTTGTACACAAAGGGTAGTACTTTGATCTTGAACTTCTAGCCTCCAAAAGTATGAGAAAATAAATTTCTGTTGATTAAGCAATCCAGTCTATAGTATTTTGCTATGGCAGCCGTAGCCAAATAATACAGTGAAGTTATTGGCCACCTACACAGCTTCTTTGGGAAAATGTCTATTCAAATTCTCTGGCCATTTTTCTTTTCTTTTTTTTTGAGTTGGAGTCTCACTCAGTCATCCAGGCTGGAGCGCAGAGGCATGCTCATGGCCACCCCAGTGTCAACCTGCTGGGGTCAGGCGATCCTTCTGCCTCAGCCTTCGAAGAAGCTAGAACCACAGGTGCATGCTACCATGCCCAACTAATTTTTTAATTTATTGTACAGATGAGTCTTACCAAGTTGCCCAGGCTGGTCTTGAACCCGTGGGTTCAGGCAATCCTCTCACCTCGGCCTCCCAAAGTGCTGGGATTACAGGCTTGAACCACAGCACCCAGCGGGCCATTTTTCAATTGGGTTCTCTTTTATTGTTGAATTTTAAGAGTTCCTTTATATTCTAAATACAAGTCCCTTATTAATAATATAATTTGCAGATTTGTTTTTCTCATTCCATGGGTTGTTTTTTCACTTTCTTGATAATCTCCTTTAAAACACAAAAGTTTTTCATTTTTATGAAATCCTATTTCTCCACTTTTTCTTTAGTTGCTTCTGCTTTGGGGGTTGTATCTATGAAAGCACTGTCAAATCCAAGGCCATGAAGATTTATACCTATATTATATTTTTTTTCTAAAAGTTTTCTAGTTTTACCTCTTGCACTTAGGTCTACAATCAATTCTGACGTAATATTTGTATATGGTGTATGGTAGGTGTCCAACTTCATCTTTTTGTTTGTTGATATCCAATTGTCCCAGTAGTATTTGTTCAAAAGACCATTCTTTCCTCCACTGAAGCATCTTAGACCTTTGTCAAAAATCAATTGATCAGCTATGTGCAATGGCACATGCCTGTAATCCCAGCTATTCACAAGGATGAGGCAGGAGAGTTGCTTGAGCCCAGGTCATATGGGCTGTAGCACATCATGATCGTACCTGCAAATACCCCACTGCTCTCTAATCTAGGAAACACAGGGAGACTCCATCTCTTAAAAAACAACTGGCATAAGTGCAAGGGCTTACTTCTGGACTTTCAACTTTATTCCATTGTTCTATATGTCTGACCTTACACCACTAACTCACTGTCTTGATTACCGTAGCTTAGTGGTTAAGTTTTGAAATCAAGAAATGTGAGATCCAACTTTGTTCTTTTTAAAGATTGTTTTGGGGACTCTGGGTCCCTTGAATTTCCATACGAATTTTAAAATCAGTCTGTCAATTTCTGCAAAAAAAAAGGCACCAGAATTTTGGTAAAGACTGCAGTGAATCTATAGATTAGTTTGGGGGAATACTATCTCCTACTATGGGCTTAATTATGTGCCCATCAAAAGCATGCTGAAATTCTAATCTTAGTATCCGTTAATGTGAACTTATTTGTAAATACAGTATTTGCATATATAATCAAGTTAAAATGTTCCCTTGCAAGAAAATCATTGCTGCCTCAATCCAATGGAAGCACTACAAGTAGGGAGAAAAATCACTCAAAGTAGCTAAAGAGAAAGTGAGAAGGCAAGCCTAGCAATCCCAGACCTAGAAACTCTGCTCTTTATCTCAGCCAAAGGAGATGCCAAATCAGGCTGACAGCTCAGCAGCACCTGTTATAGGAGGCACATTCCAATGGTCTTCTGGCCATGAACCCCAAGCAAGCCTTCCCATACAGCTGGGGTATCCCCATTGGGACCCTCTCCTTCTTGTTCAGGACAAGCAGTACTCCAAACATTTGTGAGAGCTAAGACAAACCTG